ATGAACCCAGAAATGCTGAGTGAGTGGAATTGTAAATAATTAATGTTTAACTCAAAAAAGTGATAAAATTAATGTCTTTTCGGATGGCCCTCCATGACCATATTATCCATTGAAAGCATCAAAAAATGAAAAAACTTGGTGGGGGCAAGATTTCTTGTTCTTAAGGGATTTGAAGGGCCATAATGAAAAATCTTTATTGTATTTTTTTATTTATTTTTAAGTGATTCGATGACAGCTTAAGATACATCAAAATCGATCACACCAAAATTTGAGAAACAGGCCATGTCGTTTCTGATAACTGTTTCTGTTTTCGTTTTCATTTTCGTTTATGCTCAAAATCATGGTTCGTTTATGGTACCCAATTGGTATAAGATCCCAAAAACTAACTTAAATTTTCAGGTCCTATTATTATGGCATGGTAATAAGAAAAACTCAAAACTTAATATTATCCAAAACCAAATCCAAAAAAAAATTTCAGATTCAACATACATCGTAAGCTTCATTGATCCGGTGAAATTGCATCCCACAATTATTTCCTCTACAAACATCAGGATGATACTGAAAAAGAAGAAAAAACACAGAACAAGACCAAAAATTATAACCCAGAAATTGCAGAATATTTTAATATAAAGAAGGAAATAAAAAATGAAGTGAATAGAAAAGAAAAGAGAGAGAAACCTGCAAAGCGAGCTGGCGAAAAGCTTTCTTAACCTCAGATTCAGAGGCACCCGGCTGGATCCTGAGAGTCTTGTATGGATCCACCATCGAAACCGAAGGAGAAGAACAAGAAACCTTCATCCTATTCACCGTATTCTTCTTCTTCTTCATGGTCTTGTATTGTAATCCATTTGATCCAATCATTCCACCGGCGGCAGTAAAAGTAGCCATTGAAATATTATAAACAACACAATATTAACACTGACAAATGATAATCTATTATCTTATCCTCTGGTTCTCTCCCTGTATGTTTATAAAAAGGGACTGAATAAATGGATGAATGATTGGGGTTTGAAAATATATATAAAAAAAAAAAAAAATTAGTGGGTTGGGTTTGGTTCGGTTTTGGGCATAAAAATGAAATGGATATTGTTGGTTGGTTTGTGAAAATTAAGTGACAAGAGTTGATTTGTTCCAATAATGGATAGATATAAAGGGGACTGTTCAAAGGGGCAGTCTAATTTATATATTTATAGAGGGAAAATTTTTGTGAAGGAGGAGACGATGAGATGAAAGGTCCTTATCTAAAGGTTGAGGTGTAGTGTCATAATTTGTTGAGTTAAATAAATAATAAATAAAAAAGATGGAAAGAGAGAGTTTATGTGCTGTTCTTATCTCTTTCTTTGATTCATCCTAGTCAGATTCATGACTTTTATTTTGTCAATTATGGCTCCAATTTTCAATTGAAGGGTTTATTTTAGGTATATTCCTTTTTAGATTTTTTTTTTTGACGTTAGAACCAGTTTACACGTATATCAATTAATCTCTTAAGATCTTTAAAGTTAATGATCGGATAAACTTTTATTAGTCACCCCTATTAACAACTGAGATGATTTGAATTTAAAATCTCTTAAATAATAGATCAAAGAGTCTTAGTTGACCGCTCAATTATCTCTTTTTTAGTTTTATTTACTTGTATTTTCACCCCACCCTTTATGGATGTGGGTGCTTTCTTAAATTATAAAAAAGGAGAGAATGAAAGGGACAATTCACTTAACCCATTCCCATTTTTTGTATATAATTTTAAGATAAATGTAATTATCCATAAAATATGGATATGAAGAACACTAACAAATCCTCGAGTCTTCAAGTTAACAACAGGATAAGCCTTCAGTAACTATTCTATTAATAGTTTAGATGAATCGAACTCAAGATGTATTAAGTAATACATTCAAAATTCTTAGTTAACAATTCAATTACCCAATAGCGGTTTATTCCTTTTTAGCTTTGTTTATTTGTATTTTCACCCCATCCTCCACGTAGTTATGGATGTGGGTGTTTTCTTAAATTATAAAAAGGAGACAATGCAAGGGACAATTCACTCAACCCATTCCTTTTATTTCTATATAATTTTAAGATAAATGTAATTATCCATAAAACATAATTAAACATGATCCATAAAACATGGCTTTGAATTTTTCTTTATCTATTTCACACATGCATAAAAAAAATATAGCTCATAGACTAATTCTTGCTTTCATTTTATCTAGTCGTGAGAGATTAATAAGTCTCAAGCGTATTCTTCTAAAAGGTTATTAAATCTTAAACGTTGTAATAATTTTAGAAAGATATTAAAAACGCGCTTTGATATTTACAATTGATTTCTTATATTTGAAAATATTTTTTTACATTTTCAAGTAAATTTAAATAATATTTTATAATTCTCAATAGATTTTGAAGAATATTTATATAAATTATAAAAAAATTTATGAAATAATAGTTGGTGAAAAGTTCGTATTTGCCTATTTGGTGTAATGTGAAAGAAAGGTCAAATGAATTAATCAAAATTTAATTTGATGAGACGAAAATGTCACTAGTCAACCTCGTTTATTTATGTTATTTCGATGATGATGGGAGGAATCCTGGAAATAAAAATGCTTAAAGTCAAAATCAGTGGGTGCCTTAACCTGCCACGGAAATCAAATTCCTTTAATCAAACGGCACTTGAAGGATTTAATTCATTTTAATTTAACATTTAAATTCAAAATTTATTTTTAAAAAATAAATATGAAGAAGTTTTGAAGGTTGTAAATAAGAAACATTTTGTAAGTCAAATGAGCTATTAAGTATAGATTGAAAGTTTCTTCCAAGCTACTTACCCATGTTTTTTGCTTGGGAACTAAGATTAGAATCCTCACTTTTAAATTTAAATTTCTTTTAGAAGCTTCTATTATTTAATATATTTCATTTTTGGTCCGGTTGACAATTTTTTTTTTTTTTTTAACTAAGAGTGCCTAAATTAATTTATGCATACCTCAATTAATCATTTGAAATCCTGAAATTAATGGTCGAATAATCATCTAATGACTATCCTTATTAGTAATCGAGGAAGTCAACAATTTATAATGTCTCGAGAAAGAGAAATAAATTCAAAGAAACATTTTTTCAATTGACAATAGAGTTTATTTCATTCTCCAGTGAGATCGTTTTTGTAAATTGTAATTATAAGGTGTTTTTTATACTTTTTAAATAAAGTGGATAAGGTTAATACTAGCCAATCTTATAGAGAAAAAATAAAATAGACCCTCGACATTTTAGCAAATATTATCCCTTAAAAGTGAACCAAGACTGGGTGGAATAATAATTTTTACAAGGACATGGGGCAAAAGTGAAATTTGAGAAATGATTGGGAACAACTTGAAAACTACTCAATAATTAGAGCAAAGCAATTATTGATGAAGTAAGGTGTTGACACGTGTGGATCTATTAAACGAGGTGAAGACACGTGGAATCATGTGACGCGGTGAGGGACAAAAAGTGCATTTATCTCGTGGGCACGAAGGTATAGAAAAATGTGTATTTTATTCTGAAACTAAAACGGTAACGGATTAGATAACAATGGGAGTAGCCATTAGATTTAGTGTTGGTTTGCGTGTAAAACGGTTCGTTTTGATTGAGTGGATAAGAAGAGAATAAAGTGATTCACATGGTCCTTTCGTTCACTCGAGATTTGAATCTGGATTGTCCGTTAATCTAGGATGTGGTCCGATGGTTGGGTGATTGATCCAACGGTGGATATTGTATTTGAATTTTGTATGGTAAAGATTGGATAATGAGGTTCCCTTGTCTTCAAAATAGTAAAATACAATCATATCCGATGGCAAGGAAAATGTGGGTGAAATTTGTGACACGTCGTAATATTAATAATGGGATAGAAGATGACCTGGATTAAGTGGATTAGGGTTGATTTTAACCATCTTCATGTCTTATTTGTTTAGGATATGAATTTAGTTCTATGATGCAATCATTCATTCATAACATAATTATAACGAGGGTGAAATTTATGACACATTACTTTTTTTCTTTTTTCAAAATAAGGTATTCGGTTCAGTTTATACACACACGTTGATTAATTCTTGTAGATAACTAATATAACATCTCATCATTATAATTATCTGTTTAAATTTTTTAAGGTAAGGGGATTTGTTACATTAATTTTGGAATAAAAAATGACGTGGATTAAGGTTGGCTTTAACTGTCTTTGATCTTCATGTCTTATCTGTGTTACGAATCTTTTAACTATTTAATAATTTTGCGGTGTTGAAATTTAGAATTTTCAAACTAATTGTAAAATGATTGGTTGTATATATTATCATAAAATGTAAATGACACTATTATCCACTTGTTACGTGATTACTTGTTTAGGATATAATTTTTTTTATGGTACAATTATTCGTTTATAAAAAGACTATAAAATGCTAACTTGAATTGCCACCCCTAATTTTAAGATTATGTTGTTTTATTAAAATGAGTTTATTGTTGATCCTTTTGGGATAATCTTATACTTATACTACCATATTTTAGTCTCATTAGCTAAATTTATATCAATCTCTAGATTTATGATTTGAATTTTTACTCCGAAATGTAAGATTATGTTGTTTCGTGAAAACAATTGTATTGTTGTTCTTTATGACTTATACTACCTTATTTTAGTCTCATTTGCCTTATTCATATCAATCTCTAGTTTTATGAAAGGGTAATGTATATAACGACATTTTAAAGATTTAATTGAATAACAAAAAACCTCTTCATATTCCAGAACTAATAGAAATTTTCATCTATTGAGCGAGTCTTTAAATTTATCTTACCACGAAGTAATGAATATTTACTTAATTGACCTCTTGCAGGTTTTTTTAACATTTAAAATGTATCAGAAATGAGATTTTTGTTATTATAACAAAATCAAAAGGCAATTCATGTTACATATATAGACCTCATGAAGATTATTTTTTAAGAACAAAAAGGTCTCAAATTTTGACAAATATTCTTCACATTTCTTTTTTATGACGGGGGGTGTCCGACCAGCTTACATATATGTCAATCAATCACCAGAGGCCTTGGAATTACTGGCCGGGTAAAAGCCCCAATGGTTACCGGTATCAGCAACCGAGGAAGGACTCGAACTTAAGGACCTTTTGAGTAATACACCAAAGAATCTCTATCGAATCATTCAACCATGTAGAGATAGTTAATTCTTCACATCTGCAACCAAATAAGTTATTTTCTCAACCTCAAATATCAACATCTCTTTCACACCCATAGAAGTGTTTTTAAAAAAAGAAACTTCCCAAGCAAACATATTCCTCCATTTTCCTCCATTTTCTTGGATTCTTACATTGCATTGAAGATACTATATATAACCTAACCATTCATATAATATCTTAAATGGAACCAAATGACAAGAAGAGGATATTGATTTGCAGATGGGAAATAAAATAATCAGCCAAACAATGCCTTTAAAATAACATAGTGTTACTTTCACAAAAAAAAAGAAAGAATAAATTTCCAAGTAGTTCCAATCAAGAAAGAGGCATCACTAGTCAAGCCAAATTACAAAATTCGTTAGGCCTACCCAGAAATTATTAAAAAAAATAAAATCTAAGTGATTGGTTTTTATGCCATGTTCTGGTGCACATAACATACCATCCTTATCAACCTATCACTTTCTGATATTTAAATAATAAAAGTGGTTTACCGGATCAAATTACAAATATAAAATTTGGTTATTAAGATTTAAGATACTGGGTTGTGTAAAATTATTGAACATTTGACTTGGACTCATTTTACTTTTCACATTATAAATTTTGTCACATATATAGCAAATTAAGTTTAGAAGGAAAAGAGTTCAATGGCAAACGGTTTGAAATTTTGCTGGCTTTTCCAATTGTTCTTGTCAAATGCCATTTGATTGTGATATGAAACTTGCTGTTGAACTAGGGGAAACTAGAGACTTTTTCATGAGCATAAAAACAATCCCAGCTACCAAAGTGTCTAGTCCGGAGTTCAGCGACTTCACCACCATTCGAGTTGTTATTTTGTGACACAAAGTTTAAATATAAAAACTACTTCTAGGTGATTAAGTAGTTTAATAGGGATTTTTGAATGTATTATTCAAGAGGTCTTAAGTTCAAATTTCTCCTTAATTGTTAATAAGAATAACCACTAGAATTTTTATTCAACCGATAGTTTTAAAATTCCGAGAGATTAGCTGAGGTGTCTATAAACTGGCCGGACACCTCGATCATAATAATAATAAATTTGAATATAAAAGTAGTTAGCATTTTAAATGTGGTCATCAAATGTTTTCGCAAATTAAGTCTCACAACCAATGTTTTAAAACCCAATCCGGGGTGAAACCCGACAAAGTTTCTGGGTCCTAAGTTGACCGGTTTAACCGGTTTGACCAGCGGTTGACAAAAAATTTTAAAACTCAACAAATACACCCCTACAAATTACCTGCAAGTCCCTACATCTTTAAACTTTATCAAATACACCCCAACTGAAAATCGACCGGCGACTGATCGGTAGCGGCGACACCCCAGATGCAATCCCAATCTTCCCCTGAGCCCATTTCCATTAAAATCTACCCAAGATCTAGCCGAAATAGGTTCGATTTCGGCCAGATCTCACCGACGCCGGCATGGGTATTCCAGGCCAGATCTCATCCACGTCGGCGCCGATAAACCTCCCCATCACCCAGGAATTACTCCCCTGTTCCTCCCGACCAAAACCCACCTCACCTCACCCCACCCCCATTAGCCTCGCCAATCGCCAGGAAAATCCCATTGTTGCCCTTGCCAGGTTTCTTCGATTTCCGGTCGATTTACTCACCGGAAATCAACGACGCCACCACCATTGCATTCACCGGACCTTAGTCTTCAAAAGCCCTAACCTTTCGACCATCGATTGTTCGCCGATTATCCTCCCAAATCTTAGGGTTTGGGGGTGAATCGAAAAAGTTAAACCCAGCTCGTTGAAGCTACTGGGTCCCGGTTAAACCGGTTCAATTGGCCGAGCCGGGCCGGGTTTTAAAACAATGCTCACAACCCAAAGATTAAATGTCGCGAGAGTTCAACCATTGTTTTAAAACACGGATCGGAGGGCAACCCATTTTACTGCCCAGGTCATGGGTCAATCGGTCCAATCGGTTGGATAGGTGATGTCAATAATAATTTTATTTTTAAAAAATTACATATTAACCCCTTAAATTTTAGTATATTCAGTTACCCCTAAAAAAATTCACATTAGTCCCTAAATTTTTTATTTATTTAAAAAATGCCCCAAAAAGACTAATTAATCCCTAAACTTTTGACATATCTCCAAAACACCCCTAAAAATTAAAATTAATCCCTATAAATTTAAATATTACAAAACTCACCTAAAACCTGAATCGGACCGGAGAAACTGTTGAGTACCAATCAAACAAGCCAATCTGGGTTTTAAAACAGAGGTTGAAACTGTTCAACAAGAAGCAGTCCAAGATTTTAATTGACTTTTCAAATTATTTTGGTTCATTATTGACTTGACCCACTAAATACAAATTGAACCTCTTCAATTATAACTAAATATTAGTCGTACACTACATACACAAAATAAAAAAAAACAAAAAATCTTATTTATATATCTAACTAATATCCTTTGTCAAAATATAAAAAAATAAAATTTATGTTTAGAGCAATCATACAAATACTTATTCCCAACGTCTCAAAATTTTTTATTTACTACTGTTTGGAAACGGAATACTGGTTTTGCAGAATAATGAATGAGCTCCCCAATATGTTATAAACATGGTGATGGTGAACTACGTTTGAATAATCGAGTGATTCGATAAAAACTCTGAAATATATTACTTAATAAGTTTTAAGTTCGAATCCCTCCTTGAATGCTAATAAGAATAACCACTAGAATTCTTATTCGATCAATAATTCCAAGATCTAGAGAGATTAATTAGAATACGTGTAAACTAACCCATACACCTCCTTCACATAAAAAAAACAAAAACATGGAGGCAGTACAAAAGTACCACTATTTATCGCAAAGGGGGAGTAAATTACCAGACATACAATCAGAAGGCTGAATTTTTTCAAGGAAAATAAAAAATAAAATTGCACAGAAAGCTGGGTTGTTCACTATTCAAGCAACTCGGACAACTTATATACGCACAGGATCAGGATCAAATATCATCCCAGTAACAAATCGTCAATGTGTTTGATCCGTTCATCTCCTAAAACTGATCAATGCGCGCTTATATTTTAATACTCAATACAACACATATACAGAATATTAGTCATCAAAGCTTATCTAATCAATGAAAATGCTCTTCAATATTTACAATCGTATCATCAGAATCACTTTTTAAATGTAAAATTTCAGGTCCGTAATTCTTGTGCTCACCGTTGCTAGCAGATAGTAGAAAATGCATTACCAATTTGTCAGTAGAAATGGCTCCGACTACTTCGATTCAGTTTCTGCTGGATTTCTTTCAGGCTCAGATTGTGATTCAGTCTCTGCAGTACTTATTTCAGGCTCAGATGGTTGATCACAAGAAGATGGTTGATCGCAAGCAGATGGCTGCTCAGCCACAGAAGCACCAGCATTAAAAGGTTTTTTAAACTGAACCAAGATCATGGTCATGTTGTCACATCCTTCACCACCAGCCACCGGAGCCAAACACTTTTCAAATACTCTCTCGCAGATGGTAGAAAGTTTAGTTTCCTGCACAGATCAAGTGACCTCAGATGTTAGTTACCACAATGACAACAGTCAAAATATATCACCAGGGGTCTCAGAAACTCACTGTGGCCAACTGATCCCGTACATAATCCACAAGTTGTTGACTTGAAAGGCAGTCCCTAATGGAAACAACAAAAATTCATCAATTAAGCAAAATTTATAAATAATTGAAGTTCCAACTGTTAGCCAAGAAATCAACACACCAAACACAACTTATAAGTGCACCAAGAAGCAGATAGCCAGATACTAGCAATGAAATCTTAAGGGTCTAAAAAAGAGGGCCTATGCCGCCATTAATCCAGATACTAGCAATGATAATTCCCCCATTTTTTAGGGGGTGGGTCATAGCCCAAAGCTAATTTTTGTTCCCCTACCCTATCCCCAAGGATTGAACTCGGGTGGCCAGCCAAAGAAATCAAGAATAATTCTCCTGCTTGTTCAATAACATAGACTTCTAAGTCAAAGCGAAACTGATATTTAACGTATGCGCCTTTTTGGCTCATAAGAACTATCAACAGCTTCAGGAGCAATAGTTTGAAAAAAAGAAAACAAACACGATCCAAACCATGCTCATAAGTAATAAAGAATATCAGTGGCAATTAATTAAGTTCACACAAAGTTAGGGAATTTACTCAAAAGTACTGTGAGATTTTAAATATAAATATTATCTCTAATTCAGCCCATACAGCATTTAGAGAGCATTTCAACAGAGGGGAAGAAAGCATGTCGGAGGGAAATAGATTTTTCATTAGCAACTGTTTCTATATATAATTTGAAGTAGTAAGTAACTTACCAAATCCCATCACAAGCTAAAACCAGAAACTCATCATCATCACAAAGCTCAATCTAATTCAAGGGCAAAAAGAACATAATTAGACAGTAACACACAAAACACATATACAGAATTTAAATAAGTATCAAAAACAGTAAAAATAATCCTCAATGGCTCTATTGCCAAGTGAAATTGCAAAAATTGCAAGCCAAAAACTACATAATGCATAAGTGCTGATGCAACGTACAGTAGTTATATCTGGATTGGCAGTCACAATCTGCTTTTCAGCAGGCAACGCTTTGTTCAGCTTGAACTCCACATCTCCTGCAACCAACAAAAATTTAATTGTTTAAGGAGTTGAAATTAAGGTGAAGGAAATCTCTAAATTCTCCCCTTCAAGTGGGGCTGAAATAAATCTTTACCAATAGCTCTTGCCAAGTTTAAACTTCCATTAACACGTCCAACTTGTATAAAACCACCAGCTTTCAGTATCCTATCTCTTTCAACCTCAAGGTCAGGCTTGTGATCTTTAGATAAGTTATAAGCCTGCACAAATTGATATTAATAAAACAACGCACATGAAAATTTAGATGTACAACATTATTTAGGAGTCTTGGTTCAGAATAAATCAGAATAACTAGTGATAGGTTCAGGTGCAACCATTTGGCTAATATCTAATCTTATGATAAATGGGACTAAAACCAGTGATGGCTGCAAGTGTAACCCTAGGGCACAATGAGAAATGTATGGGAAGAACAATACTACACCTACAAAGTTCGGATCCCTTATATCTTCAACCAATGTGGCACCAATTTGGCAGTTGATTTTAGCAAGCTTTATCACTTGTCATCCTATAATTAAGGTGGTGTTGCCAAATTCAATTGCCACATCAGTTGGGATTCCAACTTTGCGAGTATAGTATCATCGATAAAGAAAATAGCATATTGCAGAAAACCCCAAGGGTTGGGTTTGAGTGGTTAAGCCTTTGGCTTCAATCAAGAGTCAAGCCCGATCTCCCTTAAGGGCACCTACTTAAGGTATTATATCTCACAGATTTCGTTACTACCAAGAATGTAGGTCCAACAGCAGTCTTAGTTTATAACTCAGTGAAAATGTTAGGACATGATTGAGAGATTACTAAATATTAAAAAAAGAAAAACCCTCATCTGCATTCATGCAAGATATAGAAAGATGTCTTTGGACTTATAGTGTCACCAACATCCCTCTTGTCCTTCCTACAACACCCCTCATGCCTTCATATAAATGCCAGACAAAATACCTGACCCTTCCTCGATAACACGCAACGAGAATCGCCGGCATTTGCAACAACAAGTTGCTGGTTTCGAATGATTGCAACACAAGCTGTGCTTCCGCAATTTGGTCCATGAAAATCAGAATGAGGACCCTATTTACAAGATAAAATCATGTTATTTAAAATCTATATAACTATAACAACTAGCAGATGAATAGACAACCAATCAAGATGTATATAGGCCTTATATCTACATAAGAATAGGCATTAGAAGATGTATATAGGCATTAAATTTTAAAGCATATATTTCTAAGATGGCACAAGCTAATGATCTTTCACACTGTTGATAAACATGATTTATCATGTGAGTGACATGCAATCTATCTTAGAGAGATTTTACCAAAACTTCCTATATGAACTTAGAGCGATTCACCAAAATTTACGATTTTATGAATTAAACTTAAATTAGGAAAAATGATAGCTTCAATTGAACCAGTCTCAACTTTAGCATATTGAAATGAGCATTAATGCTCCCAAGTGCTGAAAGAAATCAACTGACCAAAAGGTAGAAAAACTGTGCCATTGCCACATAAAATTAGAAGTATGTTTCCTACAGTAAGATACCTCCTCAGAAGTCCAATCATCAAAATGGTCTTTAACTTCACTACTCCTAGGAGACCATATTAACCCTTCAATCATGCCTGAAAACTTATCCATTTTATCTCCCAATACAGCTAATTCTCTCCAACCCCTTTGACCACGCATCATCTCATCCATTCTGTACAGAAACATTACACTAGTTGGAAGATGATAAAAATAAAATAAAAGTTTTACATACCAAATATATATATATATATATTCATGGAAGTAACAAATATCATACTAAAATACATTTTCCTGCCAGTTTATTAATTAAAAATTGAAGCCAACCATGGCAAAAGTCAATGAATGTATGCACTACAACTGTAATGCAGCATGAGTAGAATACATAGGACTGATCAGATCCAGTAAAAAGTTGCCATCTTTCTGTCTAATGAGTGTCCAGCAATAGAGCACAATGTCAATAGCAACGATTGGAAATATTAGCAATGGAACAACAAAAGAGTCCAAAAAGTATTTAGACACAAAAATCTCATATAAACTGAATTCACAAAAAAACTTTGGAATAAGAAAATCTGCTTTTAATGGTATGTAAGAAAAGGTTTATGACAGTAAAGAAAAGGTTTATGACAGTAACACAGTTTAAGTGGAGTATTGTAAATCCATAGTCCAGTATCAGATATCAAACTAAATAACGCATGACACTTACAGAACAGGGACACCTCATCTGCCTCATACTCAGACCATGACTACATTAAGGCATCTGTAGAAAATTTTCAAGTCTGAAGATACTAAATAAAATAACCTGAGGAAAGCTTTCTGTGCAGAAGTGCCTATATCTCCAGCCGAATAAGCTTCATGCTTGAGCACTTGTTGGTGAAGATACTTGGCACAGAACTTAGACACTGCTTTACCTACAGATTTATGGACTTTGTTAGGACAAAACATGACAGTATATCACCAACATATAAAAAAGAAAGACAATACTGCGAAGGTTTTGAAAACATCAAGGCACCCATCATACAGTCAAGACCAATACAGCATAGCTCAGTCCTCTCATCTCTGAGACAATTGCTAAAGGCAAAGGTAAAAAAATAAAATATGCACTCACCTTTGACGCCAAGACTCATCCAAAGACCAAGAAGTTAAGAAAATCAGATAGGAAATAACAAAAACTAAAACTGCATTTTGGCATAAGTCAATTGGAAGACCCCTGGCAAGTTAAATACTTGTCTAAGCTTGTACCATATAATTAGACTTACTAAATTCCTCCTAAGTTACAAAAACATAACTGTACAAATTGTATACTGTGTTAACTAAACAAAAAATGTGTTCAGAAAAAAATCAGTCTAAACGAAAACAACCACTCAATCTTGTATATGCCAGGTGTTTCATGACATCTATAAATACAGAGGACAATGTCAACCCTATTGAAGAAAGCATACAGTAACTCCAGATAACTTGAAACTGCTAGTATTAATAACTATGAGAATCAAAACGCCTTTTAACTGCATGCAGTGACAAGGTCTGAAACTGTTGTTATAGTGAGAAGACTCCCAAACTTGCAAAAGATGACCCAGAAGTAAGCTGAAACTGAATCATCAAAAATAGTTTTCTGCTGATCACCAAAGCANGAAGGACGGGCGTCCATTATTTGTGGACGCCCGTCCAAAATTAATGGACGGCCGTCCATAATGGATGGACGGCCGTCCCTAAGCTTTTACAAATTTTTTTATTTTATTTTAATAGGGACGGGCGTCCATATTATATGGACGCCCGTCCATATTTGTGGACGCCCGTCCAAAATTAATGGACGGTCGTCCCTAAACTTTGACAAACTTTTTTATTTCATTTTAATATGGACGGACGTCCATATTATATGGATGGCCGTCCCTCGCATATGGACGCCTGTCCATATTTGTGGATGCCCGTCCAAAATTAATGGATGGCCGTCCATAATGGATGGACGACCGTCTCTAAACTTTTATAAACTTTTTTATTTTATTTTAATAGGGACGGGCATACATATTATATGGACGGCCGTCCCTCGCATATGGACGCCCGTCCATATTTGATGGACGGGCGTCCATGTGAGTGAATGGCCATCCAAATTTGATGGACGGCCGTTCACTAGAAAAAAATTATAAAGAAATGGGAGAATGCGTTCCAACTTCCAAGTCGGCCGGTACAAAAATTCGGTGCAAATATTTCGGTGTCCGTAGTGTTATTGGCCCTGTCCAATTGCCTTCAAAAGGCAATTGGACAGGGCAAAGGAACATACATGTTCTATAAGTCAAACCAGCCCCCTACGTTTTCAATTCTAACATATTATGACAGGCATCAAATTGATAGAACAGCATCAAACTAATGCAAAGTTCTCCAACCAACTGCATTTCATTTCAAGAATCAGGATGTGCTCACAATTTACATAATTAAACCTTGCAAATATTAAAAACAATTTTCATTGATCTTAACCAAACTAGACACAATTTACATAATTAAACCTTGCAAATATTAAATACATTAGAAAAAGAAAAAGAAAAAGAAAAATAATAGCTGATTCACAAAGAAAAGAAGTCTGTTACTGCATAATGAACTCAACAGACAATAGAATTTATCCAAAAGCTCAATCAAACTATAGAAACACAACTAGGTAAACAAAAAATGAAGACATACATATTTGTGATACATGCAAAAGAAGTTCATTAAAACCCAGAAAAAAATCTACAAAATGCCTGCATAAGATATAATCATAAGCTCAAAAACACACAGAAAACATCATCTGTCATAAACCCATCAAACACCAGACAAAAAAAAAAAAAAAAAAAAAAAAATTACTATGGAGTTGTCCTCTAGTGAATGTGCAACATTTCATAATATGTGATTGCATCACAAGCAAACACGTTCTTGACCTCATCAAAACTAAAAGGATGGGGAAAAAAAGAGAGAGAGAGAGAGGTAGAAAAATGTATTAGCAATTACAGTAAGCAAGTACAGTATCCTATGTGTTTGATTACGGAAACAAATGTTTCAAAGGTATTCCAATGCATTAAAATATCATATTATAGCCATTTGCACTCAGATCAAGTAACTCTAAGCATTTAAATAGGACAATTTCAAGCTTGATCAATCAATGCACATGCATCCATTGATTTCTAACTACAGGAATCACATGTTAACCATGACTCATCAACCTTCTCTAAACTACCAAACGCTAAGAGGTGTTTATCAACATTATTTTGTGCATAATATGTGCCCAAGTCAAAAGGCCAGAGTTAGATTCAATAAACAGAAACATTACACGCCAAACTTTACAGTTTTCATACACAAAGCATCCAGAATTCATAAATGCTTACAGTGCACCTAGACTTAGAAATTAATGACATTTTGGTTTCTTTAGGGACTAAATCAGTAACCGTGTAGTGCAATAGTCAATTTGTGAGCTAATGAAATTCTTTGACATATCATCTGTAAGCTAATATAAAATATTGATAAGTGGCAATTAATATTGGCAAATAATGGCCTGCAAGAACAATGAACTCTAGCAAATGTCTTCATAAAGAAGAAAGAGTTTGCCTGTTCAAATACGACAGAAAAATTGCAAAAATAAAACAATGATGCAATACAATTGTGAAATCAAGCAACAAAAGAATAAACAATGAATTTCTGAGATATCATAAGTATTAAAGTTCCTTCCACATATTTAATGGCTAGGTACTGAGGCTTCTCCATAATCAGACATAATCAGACATTAAATACAAAAGAAAGACAAAAATATTGGGAGTGTGAATAGCCTTTTCACACCACATCAATGGCATGTTTAAAAAGACACTTTCTTCTTTAGAAGCCAAGATATGATGCTGTGGCCAGAAATGATATATATTCCTTTTTGGTCTAGAAATAAGTGCCAAGAGAATTTAGGATACTCATCAGTCCTTTATTTAAATAGTTTTAACCAAATTTTAGTGCTAAGGGTATTTTAATAGGTTACTGATTTTTCTGGAACGGACTGTAGGTCCATTAAGTTAGATTCAAGTCTAACGTGGAATTTTAAGCGTTTATTACTCACAGGTACTATTCCATATCAAGGTAAAGCACCTATAGACTTGGTGATTTTAGTATACACCTGACTCTATTAATGGACCACAATCCTGCTAAGCTGTAAACAAGAGGTTTTTAATTTCTCTAAAATTCTTCTTAAGAAAAAGGAGCCTATATCTAAATACAAGAAAGCATTTCTATATCATCTCCCCTTCTCATTATTTGACCAAAATGAGAAGGTAATAGACTATCTATGGCAATGATATGCAAATCAGATTATATTGACAATATATGTAAGATAATATGGCTGTAAAAATTTGATATGTTATGGACCATTACTATTGTATTTTATGGAATTAGAGCTTTAGTATATTCTTAGACTATCTATTAAAAATTTTAGCGCTACGACGGTGAGTACTAACGCTTAACAAGTATCTACTTTCATAATAAAATATATTCTTGCATTATCAGGCTACTGTCTTCTTATAGTTTTGGCGATTAAAAGAGCACCGCTGTGCTCAATTAACAATTTACAAGAACTATATAAATATCACAAAAACTTCTTGTCCCACTAAAAGCTCCCATGCATTTCCAAGCCTTTAAGAGATTCCAGGGCACTTTCAAATAGCTGCCTCTTTCGAACAAACCAAAATGAAACTGAATCAACATGACATCAACACACTGTCCACACAGCGCAACATAAAATTAGCTGCAAATTATAAATTGTAATACAAAATTATAATGAGTGACAGGAAAGATACATCATTTTCACATTGTAACTAACCTATTAATTTACCATAGTGCTTCTTTATTAACAAGAACTAAATGAGGAAAGTGTATGCCAATATTATATTTTCAACATGTTAGTTAAAACCCAATTACAAACAGCAAATGCAAACATAAACCAAGGATTCAAGTCAAGATTTATACTATATTACTGATCAGCATTGATACCAATGTCCCTACATTTTCCTATTTTACAAGTCTAATACTGTCAAAGTTCTATAAGTCTTACACGAGCTCCACATTTCAAAATACAAATTACTGTCTTTTTGTAAGTTTCATGTTGCTCTTCAAAATCAATATCCACCAATACAGTATGATTCACCCTAAAAGTAAAGTACTCACAGCATCTTCCATTGTGGCACGCCAACCTTGCATGGACGACACCCCATATCGAAGACTCTCATTTTCGCCATCCTCAGACAACTTCTCAGTCTTGGGGGTGCTCAGATATACCCCCATTTCGTTCTGCAACCACACAAATTAGCCAATTAATCATCAAAACCATCACAAAACCTGTCTTTCTTTCACTTACATTCAAACACATTCTTTATTCCTAATCTTTCCATTTTAAGAAAAAAACACAATCTGATTCATGAACAAACAGCATCACAACTCACACGGAAGATCTTCTAACCAATCAGATAACCCGATCAACTTAAATCACATAACAGATCCTATAAACAAGCTGAAACTAACGGGTCCATTTGGTTTCCAAACAAAAACAACGAAAGAAAACACAAGAAACTCAAGTTTCGTTGACTCCAAACTCAATAAAGAAACTCAGCACTGAACAGTCAACGTTTTCGAACGCAATACAGTACTTTCTCCTAAGTTTTCATATTTTCTCGCGTTTTCTCGGGAACCAAACGGATCATGAAAATTAACAACAAAAGCAACAAAAAATGGAATGGAAATACAGTACTTAATAAAGAAAGTCAGCACTAAACACTAAACAGTCAACGGTTTTGAACGCAATACAGTACTACTTTCCCTTAAGTTTTCAAATTTCCTCGCGTTTTCTCGGGAACCAAACGGATTATGGAAATTAAAAAACAAACGCAACAAAAAAAAAAAAAAAAAAATGGAACGTAAAATGGAATGGAAATAATGGAAAGTTAGTAATGGAGATCGAATCAACTGAAGAGAATAACAAAAATAGAAAATAAACAATTAATGAGAAATTATATTAAAGAAAAAACAATAATTACTGTAATTTGAGCGTCCGTGCAGTTTTGAGCAGAGAGCGAGAGGGGGAGAAGATGGCGAGTGATAGGAAAGAGAGAAGTGGTTTTATCTTTGATTTGGGGACCTAAATCTCTTTGTTTTGGCATTTAGTTTTTGGAGTGAAACCAGTTTCTGTATCACGTGCATTCCACGTGATGACCTAGATCTTTTTTTATTAATATTTTGATTATTTTAATTTCTTCCTTAAAATGGGGAAATTACACGTCAATTGACGTGATTAAAAAGTCTTAGATTTAGATACACGATATTCGTACGTGTCACTTTTGTATTTTAAGAAATTATATATGAATAATATTGCATTACATGTTAATTAATGTCAAAAGTATTTTTTGTTCGATTATCTATTAAGTCAATATGATTTATATATAATTATGAATATTAATTTTTTTTAATTATTTGGTCGCTTCTCAAAATGTGTATAAAAAAAAAAATTACAACTTATTCGAATAGAGTTAATGGAAAAAAAAAATAAAACATTTAGAATAGTTTTTTATTATTAATTTCCCAAAATAAACTTTAATATACAAAAACATATTAAGTCAAATTTATTTAATTGAATAGGTATATTTTTTTCTCTTTAAACAAGCTAAATTTTTTAGCTTTTCCCCTAAGCCTTAAAATTTTTATAGGTACTTTTGAAATGTAATCAAACAACTTCAAAACTTTCCAAAAATGTTTATAGATTTAAATAATTTTTTTTTTTTTTTTTAATGACTGGGAGTGTTTAGGCCACTTATGTGCACCTCAAGCTAATCCCCAAGCTATTAACAATCGAAGAAATACTTGAATCAAGACATTTTGAGTAATATACCTAAGAGTCTCTATTGAACCACTTTGCGACATAGAGTTAGATGACTTTGATCTTCTTTCATAAGCTCTTTGAATTTATTTAAAATGTTAGAAAATTAAAAATATTATTTTATTATAAATTTGATTTTATATTTTTATTGCATATTAAAGTCTTGTTCGATAATGTAATAAACTTTTAATCTAGTGATGTTATTTTTATAGTGTAATAAGTGATGTTATTTTTAACCTGATAATGGTTGACTGGAATCCCAATCTTTTAATGCAAGTTGACATTTGATAATTTGTAAGTAGTATGAGATGGTAGCATGTGTTAGCATGAAATAGATTGGCATGACAGTATTTAATTCTTATATTATACATAAATGCATCACTTGGGGGCTTTTCATAAGTTTATGAATCAAAGTCCATTCTCATTATTCTATGTCTTTGCACAATACATGGAGATACAACCGAAGAAAAATTTGATTTCATCCCTAAGGTTTGACTTAAGCAAACTTGAGTCTTGAATAATTTTTTGGTAATGTTTCGATCCTTATTGGTAAGATGAAAGTTGACAAACTTAGGGAGTAAAGTTACTAATAGCCCTCTTGTAGAATCAATACCATAATGCTATTAACATCTTTGCACTTTCTTTAAAATTTCATCTATGTCCCTTAGTCAATTATCATAATGCCCTCATTTTTAATACATTCTCCATGAAGGGATTTTCTTCACATTTTCTCAAAATAACTTTAGCAAAAAAATCAACTAAAGGTATAAGAGCATAAATTAAATTACGTACCTCCATGTGGGCGTTACAATTCTCCCTCTCTTATAAGAATTTCATCCCCGAAATTCAAACAAACAACTCCAGGTAACGGTTCTGCATGTCTTGCTCCACCTCTCATGTAGCTTCTTCAACTTTATGATTTCTCCAGAGGACTTTCACTAAAGGGATACTCTTATTTCTGAGCTCTTTAATTTTTCTGTCCAATATCTGAACTGGACGCTCCTCATACACAAGATTTTCTTCTAAGTCCACATCTTCTACACTTAATATATGGGAGTGATCACTTACATATTTCCGAAGCATTGAGACATGAAATACATTGTGTACTCTATCCATACTAGGTGGTAGAGCCAACTTATAGGCTACCTTTCCCACTCGCTGTAATACTTCAAATGGACCAATGTATCTCGGTGCTAACTTTCCCTTGCTACCGAAATGCATCACCCATTCGTAGGGGGCAACTCTAAGAAACACTTTATCACCCACTTCGAATTCAACATCTTTCCTTTTCAAGTCTACATAACTTTTTTGCTTGTCTTAGGCTTGTTTCATTCTACTTCTGATTAACTTGACATCTTCTATCATTTTCTGAGTTAGTTTTGGCCCAAGAGTTATGTTCAACTCATCTTTCTCGCCTATCTCATCCCAATGTAGTGGAGATCTATAACGTCTACCATACAAAGCCTCGTAAGGAGCCATCTTAATTATAGACTGATAGCTATTATTATAAGCAAACTCCACCAAGGGTAACATCTCATGCCAGGGCATTCTATAATCCATGCAACAAGCCCTCAACATATCCTCAAGTATTTGATTCGTTCTTTCTGTCTGGCCATCTGTTTGACGATGGTAGGCAGTACTAAAAGCCAATTTGGTACCCAAGTTCCTCTGTAAACTAGTCTAGAAAGCTGAGACAAATCTGGAATCTCTATATGATACTATTGTCTTGGGTACTCCATGTAGTCTGATTATCTCTTTAATGTAAATCTAGGCCAATTGATCCAAAGTAGTGTTCTCCTTTACTGGAAGAAAATGGGCTGACTTGGTCAATCTATCTACTATCACCCATATAGCATTAAACCCTTTCTGCACTCTAGGGAGACCTGTAATAAAATCCATTGAAATACTCTTCCATTTCCATTCAGGTATACTAAGCGGGTGAAGCAACCCTGCTAGCCTTTGGTGTTCTGCTTTCACTTGTTGACAAACTAGACACTTCGCTATAAAATCTCCAATATCCTTCTTTATACTTGGCCACCAATAGCCTTTCTTTAAGTCTTGATACATCTTGGTTGCTCTAAGATGGGCAGTGTATGGTGTGTCATGAGCCTCCGTAAGAATTCTTTTCTTTAACTCATCATTTTAAGGAATGCACAAACGACTCCTGAAACGGAGGACACCATCTAGTAAAAGGAACTCTGGTAGCTTACCCTCAAGCACTTGTTGACTTATTTTCTGACACCACTCATTGGCAACTTGTTTTCCTCTGATTTCTTCTAGTAATGTAGACTGAATCTCTAACCTGGTAATCCTTGCTGGTATGACCTTAATCTGTTCTTTGCACAATTCTTCTATTAATTCTTTCTGCCTTGTAAGTCGGGACAAGTAAGCTTTTCTACTCAAGGCATCGGCTACTACATTGGCTTTCCCAGGTTGATACTTAATTTCACAGTCATAATCTTCAACCAACTCTAACCATCTCCTCTGTCTCATATTCAGCTCTCTTTGGGTGGAGAAATACTTCAAGCTTTTATGATATGTATAAATGTTACTCTTTGCTCCATACAAATAATGTCTCCATATTTTAAGTGCAAAAACTACAGCAGCCAACTCCAGATCATGTGTAGGGTATCTCGTCTCATACTCTTTTAACTAACGAGAAGCATAAGCTATTACTCTACCTAACTGCATCAATACTGCACCAAGTACCTGAAATGAAGCATTTGTATAAATGTCATAATCTACACCCTCCTGTGGTAACACAAGAATAAGAGTTGTGGTCAATCTTCTTTTTAACTCTTGAAAACTTTCTTCACAGGCATTCAACCAAATGAAAGGCATTCTCTGCTTGGTGAGAGCTGTAAGCGGTTTGGCCAACTGAGCAAACCCTGCTACAAACCGCCTATAATAACTTGCTAGCCCCAAGAAACTTCTAACTTCCTTTACTGTCTTCGACCGTTGTCATTCCAGAATTGCTTTTACCTTACTTGGATCCATTGATACACCCTTCTTTGAGACGGTATGGTCTAGAAAGATAACTTGATCTAGCCAAAACTCACACTTAGAAAATTTGGCGAACAACTTTTTATCTCGCAATCGTTGTAGCACAAATCTTAGGTGTTCTTCATGTTCCTTTTTTGTCTTAGAATACACCAAGATATCATTAATAAACACCACTATGAATTCATCAAGACAATCTTGAAATACCCTATTCATTAAGTCCATACAGATTGCTGGGGTATTGGTTAACTCAAAAGGCATGACCACAAACTCATAATGCCCATATCTGGTCCGAAAAGCAGTCTTGGTAATATCTTGCTCTGCAACCCTTACTTGATGATAACCCGACCTCAAATCAATCTTTGAAAACACTGCTGCTCCTTTCAGCTGATCAAACAAATCATCTATGCGAGGTAACGTGTATATGTTCTTCACTGTCACTTTATTTAACTCTCTGTAATCTATACACATCTGTAGAGGTCCATCTTTCTTTTTCACAAACAAAATTGGAGCACCCTAAGGAGAATGGCTAGGTTGAATAAAACCCTTGTTTAAGAGTTCCTAAAGCTATTTTTTCAATTCTTTAAGCTCGGTTGGGGCCATCCGGTAAGGGGCTTTAGAAATGGGTGCGGTCCCTGGTGCCAGTTCAATACTGAATTCTACTTCTCTTTTCGGAGGTAAACCCAACAAATCTTTTGGAAATACATCTAAGAACTCTCGAACTACTGACACATTCTGAATCTCTGGTTGTGGGACATCACTACTGTGCACTACATGAGCAATATATCATGAGCACCCTTTTCTTAACATCTTTCTGGCCTTTACACTACTGATTAACATACTAAGCTGGTGACCCTCGCCAAAATTAAACTTATCTCCATCATCAAGATTAAATCTTGCTTTCTTTCTCCGACAATCAATCTCTACTCCAAACCTCCCTATGAAATCCATGCCTAAAATAACATCAAAATCAGGCATATCAAACACTATCAAATCCACTGGCAACGCCCTTCCATGGATCACTACGGACTCCCCTGGAAGCATCTCTTGAGTTACTACACTAACATCATCTGGTAACTCTATCTTAATGGGACAATCTACTCTAATAGGTTTTAAACCTAATCTTTCTAAAATCCCATGTGTAATGAATGAATGTGTGGCTCCATAATCAATTAATGCATAAAGGGGAACTAAATGAAATAATAATTGACCAGTAACTACGGATGGGCTAGCTTCAGCTTCACTCTGGGCTACTGTAAACACTCGAGCATTGGTACCTCTAGATGTCTACGCTGCAGGTGCAGGAGGG